CCTCCTAGGCAGAATTGGATGTCTTAGGTTGAACATTTTCTTTTTTTTTTTTAATTTTTATTATTGGTTGTTCAAAACATTACATAGTTCTTGACATATCATATTTCATACATTTGATTCAAGTGGGTTATGAACTCCCATTTTTACCCCGTATACAGATTGCAGAATCACATCGGTTACACATCCACCGTTTTACATATTGCCATACTAGTGTCTGATGTGTTCTGCTGCCTTTTCTATCCTCTACTATCCCCCCTCCCCTCAAAAAATGAAAAATGGAAATAATCTAAAGTTTACAGAATTTTGAAGAGCAATGGATGAAATTGATGGTTTTCTGTGGAATTCCTTTTACTCTATAGTCCTTGTACATGTTAGTGATCCATCACAAATACTTAGAGAAACTCTACTGAATCTGAATTTCAACTAGTTTTTTACTATTATACTTATGTTAAATGATTTGATTTGATTTTAGTGCCCCAAAATATTTTAGTTCAGATTGAAATGTTCACTTTAAGGAAAATAAAAGATATCAACAAGAAGAACACTAAAGAAATTGCAAAATATCATAACTTTAGTGACTTATTTCTCCATGTAATTATGAATCCATATAATAAAAAATTAAATCTACTGAAATTAATTTGGCGAGCAATGACTTACCACTTTATTTTTTTACTTCTTCTGTATAAAATATAAAATATAAGAAAAAATTATTGACTTATTGATTTAGTACAAGCGGCTAAATAAATCAGATATGTATATCCATCTCAGCCTCTTAAACTATGTATAATCCTATTTTATCTTTATATTCCTATGAAATAAGCATTAACGTTTAGAATAATGACCTCCAGGATTCATTAGAAATATATAGGTAGATTTTTTAGTAAAAAGATACTGAAGATCTCATATAAAACTGTATATTACCTTGTATAAATTCAGAATAAATAACTCATAGTCTTATTCGTACAAAGACAGATACTTCAAAATGTCAGCCTAAGGGAAGGGAAAAAAGAGGGGTCATTTAGATAATCCTAAGCTTTTACCTGATGATGTTTCCATCACCATGTCAAATAATATTTCTTCTGTCCTCCTGCTACTTCAAATACCAATATCATTGTCAAATGTTTATATAGATTTGTAGAGAAAGGATATATAGAGAAACAAAATATTAAAGAAAAGAAATGGTAAATGGAATAAATAATCCAAAATTTTCTGATAGAAATATCTTACTGTGATTTTTGTAATTCTACATATGAAATTATATTTCATATGCAACATATATATACTTTTACGTACATAGTTTTGATATGATAATGAAGTAATACTGTTTATGAAAACTCATGCTATATTACTATTTTTTTTACTATATTTTTAAGTTCCCTATCTGTAAAAATTTAGTAAAACCACTTTTCTGTGTTTATTGTATGGTGGTCTGAAATGGTTGAGTCATCTAAAAAATAAAATTATTGAGTATATCTGAGTCCTAATTCTATGCTCTCATATGCATTTGAAGCATTAATAACAGGTGGGTTATTATCAATGAATTTGTTTCCTGTCTTTAATTTTGGGCAAGAATACATTTTTCCCTTTCAGTGGCATTACAATTATTATGAATTTTTAGGAATAAAAATAAACCCAAAGGAGAAAAATCTGTTCTATGAGCAGATGGCTTTTGATATCTTAAGGTTTTTCCATTTGTTTTAGTGCTTAAAATAAACATTATTTATAAGACCACTTACATTTTGATGTTTCTTAATGAGGAATATGCATCATTGATTTGACTAGCTTAAGAGGTCATTTAGAACTTGCCCGTTAACAAGCTGTAATCTGCTGAGCACACAATGACTTTGTTTAAAATTATCTATTCAGAGCTGATCAATGACAATAATTGTTTTATCCAATCACTTCTGAAAGTTGCTAATTACTTTGAAGGACATGAATACCAGCCAATTTTATTATTATTATTTTTTAGAAACTGTTTCTCATTTACATCAAAATTAAGAAAAAAATTAATAAAATTAATCTTGCCTTTTGACAGTACTTTAAAAATAGTCAGCTTATTCTGTAGTACTGGAATAGCAATAGAAAAATTAGCAAAATTCAGGATGTCATTGTGCCTATAATAGGAATTATAGTATATAGTACAATTTCATCTATGTTGTATATTTTTAAATCAATTAAATATTGGTCACACTGGGCTTTCTATAATGAAAAAAAATGGAACTAAAGAATAGGCACACTCGTTTTCTCTTTAAACAGTGTATTTGTAAGATATTAGTGAAAAAAGCATGGACTTCAGAGTGAGACAGATCTGGGTTTGTATCTTGACTCTGCCATTTACTCTTACTGGTTATGTGACCTTGAACAAATTACTTAACCTCAGTTTCTTCATTTTTAATGTGGAGATCATGCCCTATTCACAAAGATATTGTGAGAATTAAACAGTTAGCATAATACCTGGCATTTGGAAGGAGCTCAATAAATTTTAGATCCTTCATTTCACTGATGGCAGCTTCTTCACCCACTCAAATGATCAGTTTCTTCCAGCTATTCTTACTTACTCATCTTGGACAAAGCCACTTAAAGATTGATTGATTGTACTTTAGTGCGAATGAGTTTTAATTTGTTACCTTAACCATCACTTACTTATTATGCCCTTTCATACCCAATTGTGAATGGATTTGTCTTGGAAGGGATTTTTTTAACTGCCTTTGAGTAGATGTCTAGGATATTAGGTTATTAGAAAGCTGTAGCCTCTCCGAGTGTAGCTGGGACATTTCAGTTGCTGCTGGATTTGGAGAGGAAATAAGCCAGTGCCACTGGCTTTCTTTCCCTTAAGTGTGGGAAATCCTTCTTATTTTAGCACAAAATTTTCAGCCAATTACAGACCTCATTTCTCTAAAATGGACATACCTGCTACTCTAGTATTATCTGATCACAGACCACAATTATCACTCCTCTCAATACTCCAGCATGCATCTTTGATGTTTTCTAGAACACTTCATCTTATTTTATTTATAATTCAGTGACATCTTTATGTCATAGGCAGTCTCTCCCTGAGTAATGTTTTGATAACCCAATATTTTTCTTATGCAACCTGAGTCACTATTATTGCTGAGGATGAATTTTCTACCAGTACACATGTTTACAAGTGTTCTCTTTCATAATCATGGTATAATGCATATTTGATAAAAGCATGCTGAAATACTTGAAGCCATCCAAACAGTTATGTGACCTTGTGCAATTATCTAACCTCTCTAAGCATCAATTTCCCCTTGTATAAAATCAGGTTAATTGTAATCTCCACTTCAGATTGATGCTATAAGATTAAATGAAATGAGCCAGGAAAATACTCAGTTATTTGCATGTATGCTTTATATATATATGCATATTTCAATTAATTATTCTTTTCCATTAGAAAGTGTTTCTGGTCAATTCCTCTTCTTTGTCAGCCATATTATGATTTTGGTCAAGTTAGGGAGAGTTTCTATATTGAGTATTATATGATTTTAGAAAAATTGATTTTTAGTTATAGAGTTGATCTTTAAAATAAGATAATTTGAAAAGTTCTTATTGTATAACTTTGTTACATTGCATTGCTATATTATTTAGTTTACTTTCTAGAATTGGTGTATCTGGTTCAATTGTACACACAAGTTATTTTGTGTATCTTCAGTTATTTTATTCTTTCTCACTCTGAGAGGTTGACTAAAACACTTCCTTAAAATTTCGGCATTTAGTACATCAGATGTTATAATGATTATAAAATTTTGCCTTTTAAGGACAATGTCTTTAAAAACAAAGAATAAGAATTCAAGTAAATTCAGCATTCCACTTAGAAATATTTTAAGATACATGTCTTTTAGCTAAAAAAAAAAGTAGGCCTTGTCTCTCTATAAGTAAAAAATATGTTTAGAGAACACAGGTATTGTCTCACTAGCAAACTGTGCTGAATTGGAAGTACTTCGTATACTGCAGGAGAATCATTTATAACATGTCAAAATCACTGATTGATAATATTATACATTATCAATTTTGTTTTAAGTTGCCCTAATAGAGGCTGTGTTATCAAATATAGGACTTAAGGAGATTGAGTCTCATGATTGCTGGGGTTTTATAAAACATCTAGGAGCCCTAGTACATTATCTTATACCTCTGACTGTCTTCTCATCTTAAAAAAACACACATTAATTATATTTTCTGCTAAAAATAAAACAACTTGTATTGCAGTAAAAGATTTAAAAAGTTGATAATTTTTAGTTTTAATTGATTGAAATTGTATTTTACTTCCTTCCCAATGCTGTTTTACAATGACTAAGAAAATGGATTCTCTGAAGCCTTAATTTGACTCCTGGATCTGTCACTAATAGCTGTGTAATTATAGGAAAATTATCTAAACTTTTTGGTAGTCATTTTGTCATCTGTACATCATATCTGAAGGAGTGTTCTAAAGTCGAAGAGCATAAGAAAATCCTTAGAATAGTGCCTGGCATATAAGAACTCAATGAATGTTAACTGATATGGTTATTGATAAAGAAGAAATAAAATGCCATGATTAAGATATAAGACAAAATTTTATTTAAAGATTTCAGTACCACTGAATTAAAAAAAACTCATTAAAATTTTTATTTCAATGAGACCAAATGCAGTCTTGAAGCCATTGGTTTTGGGGGGAAAAATTCCATTTGCTTTATCTGTACAAATGGTAGGAATTTGTAGGTCAACTTTTAAATCTTTTAATAACTAACTTAGAGGTTAATATTTTGTGAAATGATTATAACTATTTTAAAATAAATTGTAATAACAAGTATTTTTATCTTTCAAATATTTATAATTCTGCAAGTACCACCTATGTTTGCAACTTATATACTGTTATATTAGTGGAAAAGTCTAAGGCTTTATTTAATATGAACTTTTAGAAATAATTACATTGGTTTGAAAAAATTTAATGTTTTCAATGAAAATTTTAAATGGTATATTTTATCTTTTATTTATACCTGTAGATTCAGAGACGCTGGCGAGGCTATAGGATTCGGAAATACTGCTTTAACTATTATTATTTGAAAGACTACCTAAAAGCTGTTTCAGAGACCAATGATGCAATTAGGTGAGTAGTACAATCATTAATCTACTAGTGAAAATTTTGGAAAGATTATTCAATAGATATTAATCATTACTTAGAAATACTTTCTTTAGCAGTAATATTTCAGGCAGATATTTATTGGTGAGATGTATGATTCTATTTATCTTAAAAGTTGTTTATTATACATTAACGTTTTGTAAAGACAAAATTAGATTATTTGTACATGTAATTTCTTGGTTCTATGCAAAATAGTTCAGTTTCTATAAAATTATTACATAGGAAGGTGCATTTTATCTGTACAGTGATATACAGATTGTTAAGTATGCTAAGCTTCATATATTATGATAAACATGTTCAATAGCAAGAACTTACCTCTCAAAGAAGAAAATACGATGGAACATATTAAAATGTCTATCTTACTGTTAGTGTTTATTTTTTAAACACCAGGAAGTTAGTACCTGGATATAGACTATAGGGTATTTTCTGTAGATTTATGCAGAATAAAGGCATTGCAATAATAGTCAGTCAACCGTTCCAAAGCCATATGTGTTGAGTTTTCATATTACTGTACTTTAAAAATAGAGATTTTTTCCTTTTGTGATATACTCTATTCTAATAACATAAAGTGACCATAAAACTACAATATTTACATTAAATACAAATCATAATTATTAATAATCGGCATTTATATAGTAGCTTGTACTTTAAAAAAATGCTTCCACATGCATTATTTGTTTCTTAAAGTTCTTTGAAATAGAAATAACAAACAATTGGCAATAATATGTTTAAAAAAGTTTTATCTGAAATCCTAAAGTAAGATATGTGTGAAGATATATCTGAAAACTAAATTCTTAACTTTTAAATTTCTTGTGTGTGTTGTAAAGAATCTGGTCTTTAAAAATTAAGCATAGAAAATTCATTACGTTGATTTCTTTAGAAATATCAGTAAAAAGTTTTTGATAGCTTCAATACAGGTTTAGTCAATGAAAGAAATAGGAAAACTAAAACAACAACAACAACAAACCCAAACAAACAAACAAAAACATGATCCAGAGGAGATTTCTGTTTAATTTCTTCTTGAGAAATCTAAAGCTTTGGAGATTGGTTAGTATCTGCAAATGGCCAATTCAAGCTTTTTCATTAAAAAACCTAGCAGAGTATGAGAGAGAAGAAATATGAGCTGGACTGAGGATTAACAGGAAGCAAGTGGGGATTATAAAACATACAACTGAAGGACGTGCTCGCTGTTCGAGTCTTGCAAGTGCCAACTCTGTACTTCAACAATCCCGGGTGTAAGCATGTTGGTAAAGTTCACATATTAACTTTTAAAATATAAAGCTATTCCTTAAGAAAATTACATTTCAGGGCCCTTATTTGCTTCACTCTAATTGAAACCCTGAATGGAAGAAGTCCTCAAGGAGGTGAACAGTTAGTAATGTGGTTTTGGAAAGGCTTACATCTTCTGTTTGGAATGTATTTTCATTAATCCTTGTTTTCATTCTGAGGTTAGTAGACCTAATTCTATCACTAGAGAGTTTAGCATAACAGTGATGACAATTTGTTTTTAGTGATATTTTTATTACATTGCAAAGCAGTTTTTTTAAATTTCCATATCTTGGAGTTTTTAAGACTAAGAGTGGAAGGTGAATTTAACAAATGATTCTCTATTATTCATTGGAATATTTTTTTTCACTTACCAATATGATCCTCAGTACTACAAACAGAAAAGTATATATTGGTAATACATACACTAATGTTAAGCCATCAGTGTGTTCTATGAATATATCCAACCAAGCAATTATTGAATTGTTCTTTTGATTTCTCACTTTATTATAATACTATTTCATATAGGATACTTACATCCACTTTTATTAATCACAATTGGTTAAAATTTTCTTGTATTGTAATCATTAGGTCTTGGCACCAGGTTTTTGCTATATTTATTAGATGAACTGAGTAAATTACATGGCATGGGTCTTACTCTTCATTAGAAATTTAAAAGAAATGAATCATAAAACTCTTGTGTAACTAAAACCTTTTAGAGAAGATATACTTTAATATTTCCAAACCTCCATTCAAGTTTTTATAACTGTTAGTAATCATTTTATTTATTTGTAGATAATTATTTAGTTTATTGCCATTAAAATGTCCTATATTATTTAAGACATTGTAACTAAAATGTATATTTTGTTATTATATTTCATTTCTTATTTTAAAATTTGCTTATTTAAATTTTTGTCTCTTCTCAAAATTATCAGACTTATATATTTTATTCTTATTTTTCAAACAATCACTATTCACATTTTGTCTTTTTATTCACATTTGTTTCGTAAGTATCTTGCATTCATCTTTTAGAAACTATTTATTTCTCAAATAATACATGAGCATTGTATAACAACTGAAAATACAGATGACATAAAATAAACAAAAAATCATCTATAATTCTATCACTCAGAAATAGACCCTATTAAAATTTTGGTGTCTATTCTCCCAGATCTCTGTCACTTAGTACCTGTGTGACTGTGGGCAAATTTTATTTCCCTTTTCCTAAGAATTGCCTCCTCTAGAAAGTGAGGAAAATAGTAGAACTACTCCATAAGTTTATTATGAAATAAATGAATTAATATTTATGAAGTGCTTAAACAGTACCTGGTATGTTATAAGCTTATGGCTTAACAATTATTTTTCTTAGGACTTGTGGTTTTCCTATTTTCTATGTTGGATGAAGTATTCTTTTATGGCTAATCTACCTTCTCTATGGCTGCATTTATGTTTGTGTTCTGCAGTTTTATTACAATATGTCTTGCTGTTGATCTCTATTTAGTCTATCAATTTTTCAATAGATATTATTTTACTCTAATATCTATGCACTCACCAGTTTTCAAACATTTTCACCAATTATCTCTTTATATATCCACTCTTTTCCATTTTTAGTTTTCTTTTTGAGCTCTGATGGCCTTCTCATTCTATTCTCAAAATCTTTCATATAATTTTTAATAATGTTTCATGTATTTGTCTTTTTATACTTTTTCTGGGTAACTCTTATTCTTTTCTGGATAATGACTTCTTATCTATTTCTGCCTCACTAATTCCCTTTATTTAGCCCATTCATAGAATTAATTTTGGTGACTATACTTTTTATTTCTGAAAGTACTACTTAGTCATATTTAAAATTTGCCTGATCATTTTAAAAATAATTGCAGGCTTTTTACTCTTTTCTAAATTATATTTTAATTTAATTTGAATAATAACACATTTGTATTCTGTATCTAATGTGATCATGTAATATTATTTTTCATTTTTCTGTATCATATATGGTGTTTTCCCTATGTATTTATAGTTAAAAAATTGCAAGATCATTGTGTACTGAACTTAATCCATAATCCTGTGGGGAAAAAATGGCACAATATTCCTCTTGAGAGTATTTATGTTTTTGTCTATTTTCTGTGTTAGTCAGATTTCTGTCATTGTGAAAAAATACCTTAGAAAATAACTTAGAGTTGGAAAGATTTATTTTGGCTCTTGGTTTCAGAGGTTTCAATCCAAGGTTGGCTCCATTGCTTTGGGCCTGAGATAAGGCAAAATTTGGTGGTGGCAGGAACAATTATCAGGACACTGCTCAAATCCTGGCAGCCAAGAAGCAAGGAGAACAAGCAAGGAATGGTTCAGGGACAAGATATAGAGGGTGCCAGGGAAAAGAGGAACAATTGAGAAAAAAATGACTGCTGTGGGTTAGGGTAGGAGTGGGAGTTGCAGGCTTAGAGGCATTTTTCAGAAGCACAGAAACTGAGCCCTGAAAGTTGTGCAGGAATGAAGACATTATTAACATGTCAAATTTCACTGAGATTGCTGCATGAAACATGATGGAAAGATTGACTAGGGACATATCCAGACAATGTAACTGGGGTTCTCCATACTGGGCATTTAGGCCATATTAAATTATCTAACTACTATTTTAAGAGCATTGGAAAGAATTTCCCTTTTAAAGAGAGAGGTGACATGATTATATTTTTTGACATATATGTTCAACTTTATTTGTAATGATAGTTACATTTAAATAGTAAACTTTAAAATCATCTATTCATTTTTGCTGGAAAAGTATCAACACATATTTAGATTATATTTTTACATCACTTTACTCTATTTTCAATTCAAATCACAGGGATAGGACTCAGTTTTGTTACCTTTTGCTGTGTTTCACATAATATCCAATGAAGTCTAAAACAATAAACAGATGTTACCTCATAGTTTTCTCAGTTAGGAAATTGGGAGGAGCTTTGCTGTGCACCTAGGTTCAAGGTCTCTCATGAGATGGCAGTCATACCATCAACTAGGTTTGCTGTTTCATGTGAAGGCTCAGTGGAGAGGAAAATGCATTTCTAACCTTATTTACAGGGACTGTAATTCTCCTGGCTGTTAGCCTAAGGTATAGATATTGGCTTCTTCTGAGCAAGTGAGCCAGAGAACGTGAGATAGCATTCAAGATGGAAGTCACATTTTTTTTTTCACAACCTAATATCAAAAGAGACATCCCATCACTTTTTCTCTATTGTCTTCATATGAAGAAAGAAACTAGGTCCATCCCACATTGAAAGGAAGGGAATTAAACAAAAGAATGAATTCCAGAGTGGGGATGACTGAGGCCATTTTAGAGACAGATTTCTACAGTTAGTGACTTGCATGTATTATTTCAACACATCTCATAATTTTCAACATTTTGCTTGGCATAAGAATTGACTTAGAGTTAGAAAATAACTTAGAGTTGGTAAGATTTATTTTGGCTTTTGGTTTCAGAGGTTTACTAGGACAATATATTTCATTGTATCTTTTCATAATTATATTTTAAAATTTAGTATTATCTCAAAGTGATTATGATTTATTCTAACTAGGAATTAGCATTAAAAAAAAATAAGGTCTGGATTTCAAAGACAATATGAAAGAAGTAGACCAGCCCTTTGTTGGTGGGCATGGTTAAATCATTTGTAGAAAAAACTTAGTAAATTATTTTATATCAGAATATGTTT